GGATATTTATATAATTTTTTCCTCTTTTTTTAAAAAAAAAAAAGAAACTGCCCATTTTCGGTTTTTGAAAAACAAATTTTTTTTAATATTCGATTTTTCAAAAACCAAAATTTTTTAAATTTCAGTTTTTGAAAAATCAAATTTTAAAAAGTAAAATTTTAAAATATCAATATTATGTATGCTCAAATTTTAAAATATCAATATTATGTATGCCTAAATTTTAAAATATCCATATTATGTAGGCGCACATATTTAAACTTCGGGCTGATTTAGCTTTTTGGTTATCATGCCTCAACACTTTCATGGTAGTTTCATCTTTTTTTCAAAAAAAATTGTTATGAAGTCCAAAAAATGGAAATATCAATAATAACCGAAACTATTCGGTATTTTGATAATAACTGAAACTAAAATAGATATTTATGTAATTTTTCCCTCTTTTTTTAAAAGAAACAAATGACGAAACTGCCCATTTTCAGTTTTTGAAAAACCAAAAATTTTTTAATATTCGATTTTTCAAAAACCGAAATTTTTAAAATTTCGTTTTATGAAAAATCAAATTTTAAAAACCAAAATTTAAAAATATTAATATTATGTATGCCAAAATTTTAAAATATCAATATAGGCCCACATATTTAAATTTGGGGCTGAATTGGCTTTTTGGTTATCATGCTTCTACACTTTCATGTCAAGGGTTTAGGATTTGATACCAAAACCTCTTGAAGAAAACCATCTGCTTTTACCAATATGTTATTTGAATAATAATGATAGAAATAAGTATCGTATTATATATGAAAAATTGTTTATGCGGGTTGGACCGCATTTCCACATATGCAATCCAGAACGTGTAAAGCGTCCATTTTAAAGATGAATAGAAGTGTTCCATCTAAAAACAATGGAAACTAACAGTCCAAATGTTTTCTTACTAGAGTTACTATTTCTAATTTTTAAATTTTAGTATGTATTCATATTCATNAGTCGTGGGAGGCAAGGCACACAGGGGA